AAAAGAGCAAAAGTCATCAAGGACATTAACAAAATAGCACTACAATAGTAAATCCTTAATTGTGATACTGGCTACTAACATTTGTGCAGAAATAAACTATAACATGAGACGATTGTAATTTGAAATGTAAAAGTACATGAATCAAAAGTCAGTAGTATATCATAACTATTTTATGTAAAAGGATATACTAAGACATAGTATATGTTTTTCTAACTAAGACAATATATGTTGGATTGAAATATAGACAGCTGATGCATCTGATAAAATATACAGCTTGTACTATATATAATTACAGATTTAAAATTAACAGGATATATGTACATAACTTATTTGGTATCTTACAACGGATATATACACAAATGAAAAGATAAAAATTAGGCGCTAGGAAATAAATAAAAACATTTAAAAGTAGTCTGATAAGAAATAGCCGTACAAAATTAATAGTAACAGACTAATATCGCTTTCGGGGCTTTAATTAAATTCTTTCTATTGTACAAAATAAATGTTACTCCTTAGTCCTTACCATAATATTACGTTACCAATCAAACCTATATTTGAATCATACAAAAAAAATTACCGTCTAGTGTGTTACTACTATATATTAAAACGAGGTATCAATTGAGGAAACTCACACATAGATTGATAGAAGCAATAAAATACTGACATAATCAGGTCGGGTCATAATAGAACTGACCTAGATACGTCCGCTGAACCATTACCACATCATATCTTTTTTTTATCACATTTATTGCAAAATTAATAGTAGTATTATAATGTCTCACTGTATACGTTTTCTTTTGTCAAAGATTCAGTATATATAAATATGAGTAAAATATATATGTTGTTTTCAGAAAATTTAATGCGTTATCGAGTAAGATAATAAAGTATTTATGAAAATGTACACACGAAAATTCAACTTAACTCGTTAGCAAGTTTTGTCATATTATCTATCTCCAAATAAAAATGTAGAACTTTACTATACATGAGTGCGTATACTTTTTCACTTGAAAAGTAATGTTAAATATTTACATCATGCATTATAATTTAAAAATTTTAATTAGCAAGTCTCATTCATCATCTCCTCCAAATATTTCTTTACTTTTCTTATTCTCTCTAATAAAAAAGTCACGACATAAGTTTCTCTCTCACTACAAACAATGGCGTGTCTATATAAAGCAACAAGGTCGTCGATTCATAACGACCATCTCCATTACTTCTCCATAAACCAACCAAACCAAGAAATCACAAAAGACAAGTTAAAGAAAGATCTTCAGCTTCTTCTTTTTGGATTCAAACACTTTTGAGAGAACTAATCTCCGATCAAGAACTCTTTCTTTTTGAAGATGAAACTAATTGAGAAGACGATGAACAAGTTCATCAAGGCTGAGGAGGAGGAAGAAGAAGATGTAAGCGAGATCTTCCAGATGATGGAAGTAGCTAAGGTTGATCTGAGCAACGTATCTCCGCCGCAGCCGTTGGCTTGTGATTCTGCTACACCATTGGTAGAGGTTTCAGCCGGCGACGAACTTAACTTGATTCCTCCGTTGAACTTCGCGATGGTTGATAACGGTATCTTCCGGTCTGGATTCCCTGACGTGGCTAACTTCTCATTCCTCAAGACTCTTGGTCTTCGCTCAATCATGTAAGCATTTAGATTAGTTGAGTGTATCTTCTATATATATAGAGAACAAAAGAGTTGTTAAATTTTAGGGTTTTTTTGTCTTTTTGTTGTTTGTGTGAAAGATATTTGTGTCCAGAGGCGTATCCTGAGAACAACATGCAGTTCCTCAAATCTAATGGAATTAAGCTTTTTCAGTTTGGCATTAAAGGCTACAAGGTTTGTGTCTCTCCTTTTGCTTTTATATTTTTATTTTTAGTTGACACTTTCTTGCTACTAAATGTCTACTTATATTTGCTTGATCATTGTCTTGCTTTGTAATTCTAATTTTCCGGGTTCTAATTGTTGTCTAAACCCTGGATATAGTAGAGGAAATGAAAATTTATATCTTAAAAATGTGCAGTGTCCCCCAGGATTAGAGAATGAGGTTTGGTTGCATCTTTGGAACTCTAAGCATCAGAAAGAGGGTTCCTATACAAATGCAAATTCCAAAACTTCGGTATTAATCTGAATACTATATGGAACATGGTTTCTAATTCACAATTTGAGTTGCTTGATGCTGCTTAACTGTATGATCACTAAGTTTCATGTTTACTTGGTCATTATCTTTGTCATGTTATGATTTAGACTAGAAAAAAGGCATTTCATGTGCGGATTTTTGTCTTGGAACCCTTTTAAGAGATTATTATATATAGTCCATATTTTTATATATGACCTTCCAAGAAAAGCGTACACCATTCTTTAATGTTTTTCCTAAGGACGCTTTCTTGGCTCCGTCCGTAACCATTTACTTCATGGTCCCACTGTTTGTGTCTTCTTGCCTTTCATGAAGTTATACCACCACTTGGTTCTTATAAGCTTGTATATATAAAAAAAAAAATGCTGAGTTGCTTGATACCAATTGTTGTCAGAGATCCACTACTCGAAAGTGTTTACTTTCCTTTGTGTGTTTCTTTTGATACTGTTTTCTTGGTTCATGCTTAGTTGCGCGTGTACTTAAATTTGCACGCATGAATGGTATCTTGAGGTAGCACAAGTTGTAGTTAAAGTAGACAATATACTATACCTCATAATTTTTGATTTTGGTGGTGAAAACTAGGAGAAACTGACTTGGCAAAACTTTGTTAATGGTTAAATTCCCCACTTATCAATTGGTGGTAGGTATGTATCTGACCAAAGTTGGAAGTGTGAAAGTGATAGATGGTTTAGTTTATTGAATACCTATACCTACCTGAGGTTAATCTACTCTATGTTTTTGTGTGGCTGAGCTTTGGGTAAAATGACTTATTTTTTGTTTCAAGGAAATGTTGGTAAAGGGAGGACTGGAGGTAGTAACAAAAAACTTAAGAGTAGAGTCGTTAACTAGGTTCCTTTATTGTAACTGTTTACACTACTAGCGCAGCCATAAGAAGCAATCATACATGTTACTTTGTTGAAACAAACTTGTGATGGGGCGGCAAGTTTTTTTTATCTAAACTATCTTTATAAACTGAAATTAAATATACTTGTGGCGATATGAATTATGATGTTGTCGTACACTCTCTCCCACAAACTCAGCCTTGTAACAAAAATCAAGCTTTTAGACTAATAATTAGGTAAAGTGGCTATTTCTCATAATATATCGTTAGAGTGATTTCGCTAGAAGGGTACTGGATATTCTACATTCATATTTTCTTTGTTGCAGTCTCCCTTCCTAAAATCTTTTTTATTGACTAAGATTCCTTATGTTGGGTGTGACAACTCTCTAGGTAGCTAGTCTTCATAGGAAATCATTTTCGTTTTCATAATTGGCTGCTTTTGTTGGACCCTCTATGATCTTGTGCGTATCTTTGGCTGTCCATGCCTAACTTTTAACATATGAGGACATAATGTTACTCCACAGCTCTTTGACAATACTACTCTCTGGAACAGCCAAACCAGTCCTGTTTTCTGATCAGTTTAGGTCTAGAAGAAAGAATATAGCTGACTGCATGTTTCATTATAATTTGGATAATTCTATGGCCTGTGTGTAAATCTTTGCTTAGTAGACTAATGACTTGGTAAGGAACTGATCGTGGGATATATATATATTTTCCTCATTTTTTTCAGGAGCCATTTGTAAATATCCCAGATCATAAAATCCGTGAAGCACTCAAAGTCCTTCTCGGTATGAATCATAAAAGCCCTAAATGATATACTTAAGTAAAAAAAAAACATGATTCATTTTAATTTATATTTGTCACCTTATTTTAAAATTTTCAGACGAGAAGAACCATCCACTTCTGATTCATTGCAACCGAGGAAAGGTATGTAAAACGTTGAAACGCAAGCTATATTTCCTTAGAGACAGTTTCATATCTTTGTTTGGACTCAAAACAATGGTTTATGATATTGCAGCATAGGACGGGGTGTCTTGTTGGATGCATGAGGAAGCTCCAGAAATGGTGTTTGACATCAATATTCGACGAGTACCAGCGATTTGCAGCAGCTAAAGCTAGAGTATCAGATCAAAGGTTCATGGAGTTGTTTGACGTTTCGAGCTTCAAGCAGATACCAATGTCTTTCTCTTGCTCCAGTAGCTAGTGTAGAAGAAGCAGCTATACAACAACCAACAACCAACGTCTCCTTAGGTTTGATTGATCAATCAAATCTATCAGTTCCTTGAGCCATTTTCGTATTTATTCATATATAGTCGAAATAAACAAAAGGAGGAGAACAATCATGAGTAACAGGAGGAATATCACCAGCATTCTTCTTGTTTTTTGGTTTTGTTTCTCTTTTCTCCTTTATTCAGTCAATAACTATGATAATTGAAAGAAAAGAAAGAATAGATTCCTTTTCTTTTGATTCTTTTATATGCTAATAATTGTAATGTATCCATATGTACTCAGTGTAAGCATTCAGCTAGATAAATATATATGATTATAGGTACTTATATTTTATATGAATTGGAAATGTTCATCAATTCACGATTATTCCAAGGGACCGTTGAGACAAATTAATATTACATGTTGTGGTTTCGGATCAGGGAGCTTTGGCCTGTAACCTAATTCAAGTATCTAAAAGAAAATGTTCACTAATACAAGATTATCTGAATTAACGAGAGCTGTGCTTATTCATTGAGCTCATAGAGTTTATGTAAGTGACAGCCTCAAACTATGACTTGACCTAATTGAAATGAAGATCTACTGAGTGTGAGAAACCGATGGCACGTGAAAGTATGAGTGGTTCAGACAGTCTAATGAAACACTTGTTTTGATTCTCCAAATTTAAAGAGCTAATATTTGATCATTTATGGCTTCTAAGGTGTAAAAAAATTATTTAAAAGATATTTATGGTTCTTAACAGTCTTCTATTACAACCAAATCCGAGTAAAGGTGTTCAAATGCTCTCTTTCTTTTTGAATATATTGATAACTACGAGATTTGCAAGAAGAGAATGTTTCCTTTCTTTCCTATATACATTAGTAAGTATATATACATCATCCTTTGGCTTATTAGAGACTCTTATGTTTCCTGGCGACAAAACATATGCAGGTGTGTAAGTAAAACCTATCTATATACAGTGATAATAATCTATCCTCTCCTGTAACAAAAAATGAATCAAGATTCTGGTGTTGACTTCTATGCAAGATGCAACTTCCTTCTCGTATCATCTCCCTGTCAAAGTAATCAAAACCGGTGTAAGGAACGCAGCTAAAGCCAAAATGATAAAAAAAAAGATAAAATCTTATGTCATGAAGAGAAAACTCACTTTACGTTGATGGTTCTTAGCAGACCTGCCATGTTCTGAGTTTGCTCTCGAGGTTCGTCCACGTAGTCTCTTGATAAAGTCTTGTACGTGATTATATATACTGCAAATTCAAAACCACATTAAGCACATACATGTATAAATGCAAAGTTTATATATATAGTGTGTGTAAGGAAACTACTTTACCTAAGCCGATGTTTGTTACAGGCAGCAAAGAAGACTACAAATCCGTTTAATATACTCCTGACAGCACGAAAAACCTGAAAATTTTGAATCCAGACAAAACACATTTAGCAGTTTATAAGGATTTTGATTCTCTTTACTGTACTAAACAATGTTTACTGACATGAGAAAAGAGGTCATTCCAAAGTGTACGCCACATGGAAACTTCAGTAGTCTTTAAAGCTGTTTGAGAATCTGATGCGAACTGCACTAAGGTGCTCATGTACCTCCACAAGTCTCCGAGAACATCGAATATGTATGAGAAAGATAAAGCTAAACCGTTGGACAATGCAACGACCACCCTGATCGGTGCATACAACACTTCCCATAAGATCCAAAACAGAGGCAGCAACACAGTATTTACTGCAAAGGACAGAAGAGAAATTAAGATATTGAAATTACGTGATGCTAAAGCTAATGGTTAGTTTCACTTACTGATGTTACAAACCACTGATACGACCAACCAAATAGGCAGAAGCACCACATTTACTACATCACCAACGAGGTCGCAACCAGACTCAATCACTATCCCAACCACTGAAGTCAAACTCAACACCGTTTCCGCAAGCGAGTTCCATACCGGCAGGAGAAAAGCAAGAACCTCTAAAAGAGGATTAACAAGAGGCATTACGAGTAAAGAGACAAACGACTGCATACCACGTGCCATTGTCAGACCCCACCTGACAGCTTTCTGAACGTTGTGAAGAAACAACATCGTTCCCAAGTACTTTATCCGTGACACCATGTCCCATGTTTCGACCCAATCAAAGAGTGGTCCGCAGAGACGTGATGCAGTGGCTTTAAGAACAGGGACGTTTTTGTATAGGTCGTAGAAGCCAATCACAACGGTGATGACTGATATCATTACATATAGTGCTCTAGCGAGAAGACACATCCAGGGACGATAAAGATGGCATAAGCAGGGGTAAGACTGAAGAAACAAGACCCAAGAAGGGAGACCAGCTTCAAGTAGAGTGAGCAAGCGTATGTCAGACATTATAACCTCTCGTAATTTGAATGGCAGGTCACGGTCACCACATCTAACGAGAACTAGGACATCTTTATACTGTGTTGCTTCTATGATGGTCTCATCACCATCAGGAACATGGCTTTCCCAGAGGTCGAATGAGTTATCTGTTATGACTGCTTTACTTACTCTTCTTCTCTTGTATGGTCCAGTGAGAGGCGGTGTGAGGGGCTCGTTTTCATCGTAATCTGCAATAGAATGGTCAACGCTGAAGACACTTCTTGAACAGCAAGGAGAGTCAGTTTCAACAGACACATTGTCTTCATCATCAGCATGAGAAGTTTTTGAGAATTCCGTTGAAGCGTCATGAAAAACCTCTCCTGTCAAACGTTACAATACCGTATAAGCAAATCATTATCAAGATACCTTTATGAAAAAACTGATAATACCTTTAAGAAGATGTTCCCTCAAGCAAGACCGTTCAGTTTTTGTTCCAGAGAACCATTGAGACATATTTGTTACAGCTTGGTCGATACTATCAAACTCCCACCTTCGCATCAACTTAGCTTCTATAGCAAGAGAAGTGTCTGTCTGCATAAACATATAAGAATGTCACTCAGACCAAAAACAAATGGAGAGCTGCAAGGAGGAGGAGTACCTGTAGCTCATTCAAGTAACTGATACCCCTCACATTTCCCCATTCAACTTCAAACACGATGAAACCGTAAAAGGTCTCGTCCAGTTTCTTTGCAGGTAGTTTCTTATTAGAAAACTTCGTGGCATCGATCAAGGAAAACCATTTCTTAAGATTATCCGTTTTCTTAAGATCAAGGTCTTTAGGCTTCTCCTCTGCATCCCCATCCTCATCCTCATCTTCCTGCTTCTGCTTTTTCTTCTCCTCTCGGCCTTTGTTTGCAAAAGGGGAGCGTCTATACTGCAAACAAAGAGATAAGGGTCGTCAGTTTCATCATAATATTTTCACCTGAGAGACAAGGAATAATGTAACAGAGGGATCTAGTTACAACATTTGTGACTACTATCTGCCATAAGTGAGCAGGTCGGGTGCCAGGATTAGACCATGGCTGGTTGTCCACGAATATGTACATCTTTTTACTTTTATTCCCCATGAAAATGCTGAGCTCAGATATATATGATTGCATGTCTCTGCAACCAAAAGAAAAAAAAGGAACCTTAACCAGATAAGTAGAGAACAGTAGGCAATTAAGATATACAGCTTAGTCATTGATGATGAGACATTGATATTCGAAACAATCACATACGTAAAAAGGTAAACAGAGAAGAGAATATCATGAAACTAGGAGCATATAATTTCTTGATTAAAGTGGTTCAACTTTAATTTCACATCACAGGGAGATGTTCAAGACAATAAAAGCCAAGTATCGGAATTCTATAGGGACATTGAACTCAAATTAAAATTAAGACATGAAAAAAAATGATTAATCTTTAATATAAAATGTCAAGAACAGAACAAAAAAAAAAACATGTTTTGTCTGGAAGGAGGACACAACAATAGCTGAAACAAGAATTTTGTAATAAATTCAAATGAAAAAAGCAAACCCAGAACAGAGAAACTTATATTGTCACATGAGTCTTTATGTTCATAGACATAAAGCTACAAAAGAATCAATCAATCATTGATCTCTTGAATTTACAAAAAAAAAAAAAAAAAAAAAACTTCTAATTCAAACAATGAAGAGGAATCGAATGTGATAAAAGGATAGAGAAAGAAAGTAAAACCCGATCTGGAGACTCGTCAAGGGGAAAACACATTTTGTTTCTTCACCATTCCCCATCTCTAACACGTTTGATTGCACTCTAATCCCTCAAAATCAACGTCAAATTGACCTCAAAATCACTGGAAGAAAAAAAGAGAGTCAGAGCTCAATTAGAATACAATCGAATCAAATACCGCATGCCGAGCAGCCGTAGAAGTCTAAACCACCATGAATGTAGCGACAATCGCCAAGAGAAAAAACTAGAAAAAATTATCACAAATTTCAGAATTTTTGAAAATTTGTGAGGAGAATAGAGAATAGAGAATAGAAGAATTTGGGTTTACTTGGAATGGGGGAGAAGGGTAGAATGGTAAAATAGATAGCCGAGGAAGACGGAGGTTTTGATGGCGCCAGGGGGTCGTCGGTTTACGTCTCACCGCACCGGAGCACATTGATGATGTAATAATATAAATAACTGAACGCGTGGATAATGTCCTTCCTCGGCTAGCGCGTGTTTGTTTCTATTTTCTAAAAATTATTCGTTCAGATTTGATTTCTCAAAATATATAGCAATATAATGGATCTTTTATTTATTTTAGAATTAAATGGAAAAAGAAACACTAAGTATTGGTTTTAATATCATGCTGTTTTTAATTCGATTTTTTATTTACTTTATTTACGGTAACTTAGTTTATTTGATTACTAATTTATTTTGAATCCGGTAAAACTTTTTTATTATTTTTGTATGTTTCTTTTAATAATAAAATTGTTCGTTCAATTCAACCGTTTATAAAAGATGATTGAGAAATTTATTACGGATAGTGATGATGGATCTTATCGATCGTAAATAGTTTTTTATTTTATGGTGATTGAGTTATGATTATTTTGAAACACAATATAAAATTCTATGAGATGATTATTTTTTGTTACGTTATTATCAATAAAATGATATAAAGAATTGTATTTTTTCGGTGGTTCTTACTAAAATAATATAAAAAGTGGCAATTATTCTCAATTCAAATAATACATGATATTTTTGGTTTAATACAGAAATTATTTTCCTTAAAAAATAATTATGTCAGAAGTAAATGCATAATTTTTATATATAAAAAAATATTATTTCATATGCAAGACAGATGTACTAGTTTATTATGGATCCTTAATAGTATATATATATATATATTTCTATATTTGCTTTGTTAATCCTCATTTTTTAGTTATCTAGAAGATTTAATAATACGATCCAACTTAAAAGAGAAAAAAAATCTCAATACTTTCATGATTATATATTTTTTTAATGATAGTACAATTGAAATTAAATGATAAAAAGTTAACTATGGAGGTTGGGTCTCAGGATATATTTTTAAGGATCTTCAGGATTATATTATTAAATGATACTATTGGAAATTATATGAAGAAATAAAGACACGAAATTAGGTGTCGAGAAATGAGAATTGACATGGGAAAGGAGTAATGAAATGACATCTATGTAGGCTATGCATTCATTTGACATGCATGCATACTGAAAATAAGCTTTTGAAACTTGAGAAAATAAATTCTCATTTTGGAGAATGTTAAAACTAATAAAAAAAATACAAAAATTGATCTATACTATGACCTATGAAAAGCTACCACTTATAGGGATCGGTTGGTATATGAAAGCAGTAACATTATCCTTTACCAGGAGTCCTTAACGCTGCTTTAGTTCTATTACTGGGGCTCAACGTAATAATTGAGAAACCAAAGCAATTATGCAAGTGCTCTTGTTTCTGAACATTATACTAATGCATTCTTGCGAAGATCTCGTTACATTACATTACATGCATTATAGTATAGTCCACAAAACAACAAAGATGTGTTTGCATGGCATGAGTTTTGAGATTGGTATCAACCAATATTCGACTACTTACTTGGAATAGTTTAAGACTTGAAGTGCTGTCTTTTAAATATATCAGACTGATCCGATCTGTTCTAGCGATCTGAGTGAACTGGTTCTGAATCGTTTTTAAATGGTGATTTGTATATTTTAAATATGACGTGGTTTTGTCTTTTTAAAGACGTACGATGTATATATCTTGGTCAAATTAAAATTCCTATTGGTCATTTCTTTATCAATATAATGATCTGTCTTGGTGGAATTGAAGATATCATGTAATGTATACTCTTCTAAAGGGGATATTTCATTCGACCGATTAATGTTTTGTGGTGTTTGTAATAGAATAGTCGGAAGAAGCTTGCAACTTGCAAGTCCTTTCATTTTATTTTGGTCGAACACTAGTTGATTTATGGAAGCTTAACCATATAAAATTAACATTTACAAGTCCGACCTATAATATATTCATATATATAAACCGAGAAATTCATCAATAACACTTTCACAATTGTGTCCTAATAGGAAAATCTAAAGACATAGAACATTAGTTTTTGATTTATTTGTGCCCAGAAATCATATTTTCAAAATTCTTTGTCGTCTACAAATAGGCTTGATTTTTGAAAATTCAATTCAGGCCCAACTAAGCCCATTAGTCAATTGCTGATAAAAATAAAAAAATAAATGCGGTGAGCGTGGATCGAACACGCGACCTTCAGATCTTCAGTCTGACGCTCTCCCAACTGAGCTATCCCCGCGATTTGTTTAATTGAACCGAGTACGTAATTATATACTCATAATAGAAAATAAAGGCGCGGAAAAATCAGTTTAGGGCAGAAGTATATAATGGTTGGTTCTACGTTTCTCCTCTTACGTTCAAAGACCATTGCTTCTTTCGGCGTAGCGGAAATCCATATACATCTCTATTTACCCGATCGTTGTGTTCGATGACATACTCGTCATTGAATCTATGTGGATGCTGCTAATGAGTTTTAACTAATGGTTCTATTCTATGTGTTAAATAAATGGGTCTAGTTTGTGTCTGATTTCTAATGTATATCTGTTGTGCTCAATTTTTTTGTCTTGTCTGTTTCAGAATTATTCATGTATAATCGCAAACCAATGATGAAGAAAAAAGAAGGTTTAGTGGATGCCGCTGATCCTGACCTGAGCTTTAGCAAGATCATGAAAGATGTTCAGCTCTTTGGTAACATTCTCTCTTCTCTCTTGCTCCATATTAGCTTTAAGCCGTTATGATATGAAATGAAAGTGATGGAACTTGTGTCGGCTTGAGTTAGTTTTCTAAGATCCTCTGCTATTATGATGACAAGCTTAGTTAGTACTCAGATATGATGATGCAAAGTCTTATGTTCTCCTTAACTGATGTAATAAATGTTTAAAAGCTAGCTCGCATATGACATGGAAGGATAAGAAAGCGTTGGAGAATCAGAATGTCACTCAACTTGGTGGAAAGGTTTGATCATGATTTGTTCTTCTTAAAGTTAATGTTTACTATATAGCTAATCCTTTTCTTTTGTCTTTATCGTAGACTCAGAAGAAACAGAGGCTACCCCTCAGTGTAGCGAGAGTACAGATGAAGAAACAGAAAGATAGAGAAGACAAGATGTTGGAACAGGTTTAAATTTTTTAGATAATCTCACCCTAGGACTCATCTAAGTCTCACTCTCACCTGCTATTGTGTGTTCTTCAGAATATGATTCTTGGACAATTTGGTGGTACAAGTAGGAAGAAACCAGCTGAGAAGAAGACTAAACCAGAGGAGAGAGTTTTGAAATCAACTTTCGGGAATTTCAGGGGCGGTGTTCTTGATGTTAAGGATTTACTACGTCCTGGTTCTTATTCAAGAACTAATGGTGGAGATAACAAGTACGGTAAGAACAAGTCCAAAGGCATTGGAGGAGAACTAAGAGGAGGAGACATCAAGAAAAATAGAAAGAAGAAAGGAGGCGGTAAAAGGAAAAGCAAGAAATCCATGTTAGCTATGTAAACCATTTTTTCATATTAACAGTTAGAGAGGAAAACATCTTCATCTAATAATAATAGTTGTGAGTTACACATTAAGAAATGTTGATATTAAAAGCTTCACGCAAAGGCGACATCTTCCAATTAAACGCTACTCTTCTTAACTGATGGAGGCCAAGATAGTCTCCGGTCAGCTTGATCATTTCCACTGTCATTATCTTCTTCATTCTAATCATGTATTTGTCTTCTTGTGGTCTGAACAGCTAATTCGTCGAAACTTGAACCTGTAACCCCCTGAGGTGGAGTCAAACAATCTGAGTCTCTATGTGACAATTCGTCACCTCCTGGGGTTGTTGGTAAAGAAGCTGCAGAGTTACCAACTCTAAGGTCTTGAAGAGTCGCAAATGATTCTCTCATCGCAGACATGGCCTCAAAGAATCTCGTGCATGACGCTAATGCCACCGGTATTGGACGCAGCATTTCCTGGCAGGAAAATTGTAAAGAGGTTGAAATCGTTATGAAGCATGATCAACTAACCATCAACACATTCCCTAAATCAACTGACAACTAACCATCTACACAAGCGATTAGACTGTAAAAAATCAACTAACCATCAACAAATTCCATAAAATTGACAATCTCTTTCTTGATGCAAAGATATTAATAACAGACGAATCTAATTTGATGCCATAGCTAACATGGATGAATTATATATGATACTATGTTGCCTAATGAATCCTTCTGCAACGTATTCTATGAATTATATATATACTTTACTGGATAGCATGGTGTAGTGTGACAGTACAGAGTTTTCCTCTCAAGCTATGAAGAATGTATTAGATAATATCTGACGACTGACGAGTGTAACAAGTATATGCAACTAAACATGAGAAGTTATGTCTGAAAAGATGTAATGGAAATATAAATAAAAGACATCAAAACCGTACCCCCCAGACTGAAGGAGGTTCTTTAAAGTTTTGGCTCCACTGAAAATCAGACACTGATGCTGTTAAGGCGCCATAATCACTGGCGGCTCTCATTAGCAACTCTGAAAATTGTTTCTGAAAAACAAAGCAGAACAATAACCATTATTAGGCAAGCATTTTATTTTTCCAGTTGTGCTGCAACTCCAGATACGAATCAAGTTCAGCTCAGTTAAAGCAAAAAGGTTTAATTGTTCCTCAAAGTAGTAGCAAATAGTATCAAATGTCATGACTCACCTGATACTCTGCTTCAACAGGAATGCAATCTAGTGAATAAGGTTGTTGGAGACGAGCAATGATGCGATCCTGTCATATAAATAGGTAAATGATGTAAGAGACTTCAACTAGAGGTGGACAAATGGATTACTTGATTAAAAAAAAAAATCCTTCTTAGAACTCTTTACTCATGAACTAATGTTGCCAAAATAGATTATAAATGCAGAAAATAGAGATATATGAACTACATAGGGAACGATACAAAGCCTTTTTCCATAGAAAAGAGAAGATTATTAGAGGTAAAAGAAGGAAATATGTACCTTGTTTTGTATAACATCTTTCAAAATTTGAGTAATCCTTGACAGAGTCTCGATTTTCTTTTGCATTTCACTCACATGAGTCAAATGTGCCACATTCTTATCATCCTAAAATCCACCAACAAAGAAGTTCGATAGAAAAAAAAAAAGCATTGAGCAACAAACCCTGTTAAGCAACTCTCAGGCAATTCAAACTTCACCCTATTTTCACTTTTAAAAAGGAAGCAAACCCCTAAAAGAAAGGTACCTTACCTTCCTCCCTTGAAGCTCGACCTGCAAATCAGCAATTTTCCTCTGAACAGAAGACAACTCCCTCAAAACCCTAATCAAATCATCACCACCCTTTTCACCATTTGAAGACACCGCCAAGCTTTGTAACTCTTCCTACAGATCAACTCAATTAATCATAATGAACAATGAAAATGATCTCAAAATGTAGCTCATTGACGATTCGTCCAGGTTCAAATACTATCAATTCCAGATCTAACAGCAACAATCCCGATACTACTCAGAGCTAATCGGAGTAACGTGAACCCTAATTTCGATTTTAACTTAAAGAGCTACTGAAATCGGAGAAGCGGTTGGTGAAGTTACCTGATGAGAGGGAGGAGGAGGGACGGCGTAACCGAGATCGGAGGCGATGGAGAGAGCATCGGATAATCCGCCGATGCGTCGGATCGGTTTCTTCCCCACCCATGTCGAGTCGCTTCCCATCGACATCTCTCCACCAGCTTTTCCGCTGATGCTGATTTCTTGTGGGAAAGCAAATATTTTTAAAAAATAAATATTCAACTGTAAAAAATTTGAAAACATTTTGAACATTGTAGCAGACCTTAGAGTTTGTAACTCATAGGCGTAGCCCATATATTGATTTAATGGGCGTAGCCCATATATTGATTTAACAAGGCCCATAAAGAAAGAGCCACAAAACGCGATGGAATATTTGTTTCCTTGAGTCTGCTGATTATGTAGAGAGAGTAGAGACGGATAAAATCTCAACATTAGCAAAGTGAAGCATAAGAGAGAGAGATCGTTAAGTCAAACGATAGTGTTGCTGTGCGACTGCAGTTGTGGTTAGTTTTAAACAAAAAAATTGTTCTTTTTATTGACGATGTTACTACATCTTACGTATGTGGCGCTGAACACTGTGTTTTCGCGTCGATAAAATTTGAACACCGAAAAGTGTCATCATTAATGTCGAGCATCTTCCAAACGAACAATAATATGCAACTGTGTTATACATTTGCAAAATGAATAACAACCAAACGAATATGATGCAACCGCAGACGCAACCTCAGCCGCAAAAAACTACAATCTGCCAGCACTAGTGTTTTACAATTTTGATTGCTATCTAGTTTTAAGTTTTGTAGGTATTTGATCTTTATTCATTTTTTATGAATGAAATAGTGCAAACACAACACAACAAATAAATGTGTTTTACGTGTCAAATAGTTTAATATGAAAATGCAAGGAACAATAAGTTGACCTGATATTATTCTTATATTATTATATTAAAATCATTTGCATTATGATAAAAAAAAACTAATATACTAAAAATTTTCAGTTAAGGATTCCAATATTTTGAGGAAGGTTTTTGCCCTCATTCTTTACAAGGAAGGCACGGCCTCGACAAAGCTAAAAGCGAATCAGTTAGGAGCAACACGAAAAGCATATATCTTAGGCTAGTTGGCAATCTACATGGCCACAACCCACAATGTAGTTAAAGAAATTAAGAAAACCTCAGCGGGTTATAATAATGTAGTATAAGCTAGCCTACTACTACTAGTGTCAATAAGTGAAGTTTGTGTATTAAGGTTTTCTCAAAAATCACGAGTATGGATATTGTCGACAGAAATGTCAGTCATGTGACTAATTGAAGTTGTTATGGACTAATGCATGTTAATTTGATAATTATATACGAGGAAAACTTACACGCACATATGACATATCCTTCCATTGGGAGTTAGTTTCCACCTTAGCGGTCGCAATATAACAACTTTGTTAATTTGGTTTCTGCACGTTTGTTAAATGCGATAGTGAAGGTGGTAGGACCGTCGGTGTGAGATTATGAAATTTTGGAACGTCAAAAAATATTCGATCTAGGAAAGTTCTTCTTCTCTTTTATCTTTGCTTTGGACAAAGACTCTTTACATAAAGATCTGACAGGTCTGGTCATTAACTAGTTTAATAGTACTAACTAAAAGAGATTAGGATTTGATTAGTTAATTATGGGGGAATATCATGCATTTGTTAAAGGAGGGTATAATTTTAATTCGAGTCACCAACTATCCTGCATGGATTCAAGAGTGTGGGTCAGAGAAAGGTTAAACTATAGAATTCCATTCATCGCTTAAAAACCTTTAATTTATATAACCTACCAACTTATTATCATCAATCTTAGTTGATGAAGACCGAAGTTTGATAAAAGCGACCGTAATGTGGACATGATATTAATTTTTATAAATTTAGTGACTTAAATGTGAATGGACTTTGAAGATTCCACGTTTTAATGTGCAATGACTTCAGAAATCAATGTAAAAACGATATAACTAGTAAAGTTCCGAAAAAGACATAAGAGATGGACAAAATTTGGCAGATAAATTATGTTTTTACCAATTTATAACTTTATTCTACAATAATTTGAAGTTCTTGTATTTGGTTGGGGGCAGTTCACATGTTCCAAAAAAAAAAGTCGTGTATTTGGTAGTAGTACATATGCAGGAAACCGTAACACATCTTTTTCCTAAACGTACGAACGAATATTCGAACTCGGACACACAAGAAAACTCAACCTTTCCCAAAAGAAGCACGTACTCACTAAATGAGCTAACCTTACGTGGTATCGTCGTATAATAAGTGTCAAATTAACAAGTTAATTAATCTATTAAAGTATTTTTATACGATCGTCTGTGGAATAGTGCTGCTTCGTTGGAGTTAGAGGGCGTCGGTGATGTGCTCGCGAAATTTCTGCCAAGAAGAGACACATGTCGCCCGATCATTTGATAATATTTGGGGTTTTTGGAAGATGGAATGAAAAAGGAGACCCACCAACGACAGCATTATTAATTTCCGTAGATTTGGAGTTAATCGAGCAGGATTGCTTCCGGCGCGTTGCATGAACCCACACACCAAATGGCAAATAAATTGCTTATGTAAGACTATTTTCCGATATATTTCCTGTTAAAAAATAAAATTAATATTTATTCTCATATATGTTTATAAAATAATATTTTTCTGCAAATGTTATTTTTTTCTTCAATAAAATACTTTTTATTTTTCAAATATTAAAAAATAGTAATGGATTTTTTAATTAACTGGAGGTATACCAAACTTATTGAATGATTTAGACTAAGCCATTTAAAATATGTGTGGTTCACACATGAATTTCTCTTTCAAATATTCAAATGAGGTCCAAAACAATATGGTTCCATGTAACCGCACATGTATCATGTGGTTATTTTGAATCCGGATTGCCTAACTCAAATTCAACTACCACTAGACCACCCATAAAAATAGTAATGAACTTAATACAAATAAGTATAAAATAATCAAGAGTATAGCAATGCTTCAGTTTGATATATTTACTCATCATAATCAAACCTTACAAATCATGAGAATTGGTTAAATACTCTTTGGAGCATCTAATCATATACTTTCTCCGTATTTAAATCTATGATGTTTTAGATTTTTATTTTGTATACAAAAGATTGATGTTTTAGGATATAATTAATACATTTATCTTTAAAATTAAACAAAATTAAAAGATAAAATTAGGAGTAGTTGAACTTTATTGATAAACTAAAAAATAATAATTAAAAGAGTTAATTTCTTGTTTCTTAATATATGTGCATAACCTTAAACATCATACTTTTAAATCTAGAGGGAGTAGAATATTAATATATTTTTGTAAGAAGTTAACTATTTGGTTAAATTTTAAACAAAAAAAAAAGAAAATTAACTCAATTATAAATTGACATGTGTAATGGGGTTTTTCAAAAAAATTGAAATATCTAAATGAGATACCCTTTCCATTTTTATACACTCTCTTTCTTCTTAATGTAATTTTTAACTTGTTTATTGTCTAGAACTCCATTAAATTTTTTCAATGAGGGTGTTCTAAAATTGTGAGTTGCTTTTAAACAACTATAAGATCACACTTACACAAGAAAACAACTACAAGTTTATTTGTTTTGCAAGATTTAACTTTGAAAACATGTCATTTTGAAATTAACAATGCAACAAATATTCGACTCTACTACAAAAAAAATAAATAGCTTTTGTAGCGGGAAATCAGTTTACTGTGAGTTTATTTGCTTACTGCGAAATTTACATCTCAAACAGCAGAAAATACTGAAATTCTCATGTTTAAATCAGCTATGTATATAAGAAAAATCAGTTCTGTTTCTAGCAGGTGCTGTGTAGTAGTTTAATGATAAACAAATAAACACATGTTCCCCGTTAACAAAGTATCAAAACTTACGTCTCCATGCTTAATGGCGCTAATCATACATTTTGGTTGCTTAAGTCAAAGTATTTTGACCAAGTGTCGGTCGAAGCTCGAGGTTAACAAATGATGGGTCCACGTAAAAATGTCGGTGCTCGGGAAAATAATAAAACCATCCAAACCGGTCATCACGCAATAGAAACTCTGAATAAAAACTGAATTACTACGAAATTTATGGATGTAGGATCTAGCACACGTGTAGGTGTCTCTTAGTGACATACCCCCTCTTTTTTTTTTTTTTTGTCACAAACCAACTGATTTCATTAAGAACTTAAACCAAAGCCGGTATGGCTTGGTTTAAGACAAAATCCGAAAGTGATTGTTTAGCTACACCATCCTCAAAGCTAACAACATCACGGCGACAAAATCTAAAGGAAACTGAATCAAAGAAAGAAGATAACAGATAGATATCTGCGATGATTCCATGGAGGTCGGAGAAACTAGATCCTTCTGCAATTGCTGTCACCAATTGCAGAGAGTCTGATTCAAACAACACACTCTTCATCTGGAGAGTAATTGCATGTTCCATCGCAGCGCGAATTGCTAGTCCTTCAGCCACGAGGGACGAGATCACAAACGCGTTAGAATGACTGTGAGAACTGATTCTCTCACTTTGAGAACCGTAGAAGCTCCAAGCTAAACCCGCCGCTTGAAGGTCTTTCTTCCACGCCGCATCTGATCTACAAATGATTTCCACTTCTGGTCTATTAATAGCGCTAGTGCTTCTCTGTAAGTGTGGAGTCTTTTTTACTTGTGCTGCAGCCCATTCTTTAGCATCAACGATTGCTTTTGTCACTGTGTCTTGGGCAGAGAAATTTCTCTTCTGAAAAAGCTTCATGTTTCTTGCAGACCAGATAGACCACAAAATCCAAGGAGCAACCGGGGTACATCCAAGGCCTGTAGGGGGGAGGATAACAGCTCGGAGGAGTCTATTCCATTCTTGATCAAAATTATTAAGCGGATTTGGCTTGAACTCTGCAGCAAAAGGTACCAATTCCCATACCTTCAGAGCATAGGGACACTGGAAAAATAGATGAGATATGGTTTCAACATTATCGCAGTGTATGCACTTAGAACCTGATAGGATATGTCGTTCTTCTAGCCTGTCTCCGACTGGAATAGCATTGTGCTTAATTTTCCAAATGAAGAGTATGAGTTTAGGAGACGCTTGGATGTTCCAGACTTCCTTAATCCACTCACGAGTGTTCTCTATCTCTTGGTTAGGCTCGTTTTTGTCTTCCATAGCTGCATAGTACCCTGTTTTTGTAGAGTAGGATCCCGTCTTATGTCGTAGCCATTTCAGCTTATCTTGTCCTCCCCATTTGCTCGGTTTGATGCTGAGGATGTTTCCAAGGAGAAGTGGGAAGGATCTCTCAATTTTCTGTTTGTCCCAAGCCGTTGATCCTTCAAGCATTAGATCTGAAACTGTTAGTGTCTTTCCTTCTATCGGAGCCGGACCCATTGGGCGTTTTCTTTCTGACATCGAGAGCCAGTCATCATTCCAGGCTGAAACACTTCTACCATTCCCAATTGCCCAGCCTAAATGTTTCTTAAGGAGATCTCTTCCAATAAGGATTCCTCGCCAGCCATGGGAGCAGCTCTTCGGTGCTTGTACTTGGAGAAAGTCTTGATCGTAGAAGTATTTCCCTTTAAGTACCCTGGCTAGTAGGCATGAAGGTGATTCTAAGATACGCCAGCTGAGCTTAGCTAATAAAGCATCGTTGAAACACTGAATGTCTCTGAATCCTAAACCTCCATCCTTTTTCGCTCTTGTCATTGTGTCCCAGGCTATCCAAGACATCTTTCTCGTACCAGTGTTTGAGTCCCACCAGAACCTAGTCAGCATTGACTGGATTTGTTTACATAGTGACAATGGTAGCTTGAAACATTGCATAGCATGATTAGGGATAGCCGATAGCACACTCTTTAACATAGTCATCTTCCCTGCTGTTGATAGATATCTATTTTTCCACCCTTTGGCTCTTTGTCTAATCCTATCCACAATGGAATTGAAGAGATCTCTTTTTTTCCTTCCGAAATGCTCAGGTAGACCGAGATACTTTCATGTCCCTCCTTCATTCTGAATGCATAAATCAGCCTTTATTCTATCTTTAAGCCTCGTGGGTGCTCTATTAGAGAAGGTGATCCCCGACTTTAGGTGATTTATTTTCTGGCCAGAAGCTTGTTCATAAGACTTGAGGATGCTTTGAAGTGCAGAGATGCTTCTGGTATTTGTTCGGCAGAAAAAGAGTGTATCATCAGCAAAAAGCAAGTGGTTGACTTTTGGGCTGTTAGTGGCCACTTTAATCCCCTGCAGTTTCTTTTCTTCCTGTGCTTTTCTGCATAAACCAGACAAGACCTCACTACAGAGTATGAAGATATAAGGTGAGAGTGGGTCGCCTTGTCTGATTCCTCTTTGAGGTTTCACCCAGCCCAGCGCAGACTCATTAATTAAGAAGGAATATGTCACTGTTTTAATGCACTGCATGATCCAGTTTATCCATATGGGATGGAAACCAAGGTGAATCATAACTTCTTCAATAAAATCCCACTCCAAGCGGTCATAAGCTTTACTCATGTCAGTTTTCACTGCCATGGAGCATCGCTTAGAGGCTGAAGACGTTTTTAGGTAGTGAAGGACTTCATGAGATATTAGAATGTTATCAGTGATGGCTCTTCCTTGGACGAAGGCATATTGGTTTTCAGAGACCAGGTCCGGCAGAATCTTTCTGAGCCTGTTGCCTAGCAGTTTGAAGATTATTTTGTAATAGACATTGCATAGCGCAATTGGTCTATAATCTGCCACTGTTTGAGCTTCAGTGTTCTTAGGGATGAGCCGAACATGAGTATGGTTTAAAGATCTCGGCATAATGCCGGAGGAGAAGAACTCTTGGATTTCTTTGACTATATCAGAGCCGACTGTGCTCCAGTTTGCTTGGAAGAAACTTGCAGAAAACCCATCCGGACCAGGGGCTTTGTCCGGATGAATAGCAAGTAGAGCCAAGTATATTTCGGAGCTTGACGGTATGGCTATGAGTTCTTGGTTTGTTTCAGAGGAAACCTTACAAGTGAGAGCTTGAGCAACGATAAGTTTTCTGTCCCCTGGGACTGTTTTGAATAGGAGATTAAAATAGTCGACTATCGTCCCAGCAATTTCTTTTTCAGTAAACACAAGTTGTCCTTGAGCATTCTCCAAAACTGAAAAATTATTTCTTGCTTTTCTGCCCCTAGTAACTGCGTGGAAATAACCTGAGTTCTTGTCACCAAGACTCAACCAAAGGTTCCTACTTCGTTGTTTCCAGAAAGATTCTTCAGCCAAATAGGCGGCTTTTAGGTCTGAGTTGATTCTAGTCAGCAGGGCCTCATCGTTTGCTGTACTAGTCATAGCGCATTCTAGTTCTTCTTTCCATTTGTTGATGAGTGCTTTGTTGTTTCTCTGTTGCTCTTTATTCCAGTGGACAATAGCTGATCGGACCAGAGAAATTTTTGTTTGAACCGAGCTTTTTCCTGCTCTTTTCCAAGTTTGTTGAACCAGCTTTAAGATCTCAGGATTGTCTTTAAGTCTTCTATCAAATCTGAACAGACCTTTTCCTTTTTTCTTTGTTAGGTCGAAGCAAGTGATGATTGGTTTATGGTCTGAGCCTTCATACTTCAGATATTCCACACAACCTGAATGGAAGATATCAAACCACTGCGTGTTGGCCACTGATCTGTCTAAACGACACCTTACCACATCATTTGAGCGTACTCCCCTCCAAGAGAGGAAATCACCAGTATGGGGCAAGTCAAAGAGGTCGCACTCTGACATAAAAGTTCTAAAGTCCACGAAAGATCCTTCAGGTCTGACTATGCCTCCCTCTTTTTCTCCACTGCCAAGTATGTCATTGAAATCTCCGGTGATGAACCAAGGAGAGTCTCTAGAATTAGCAAGAGCGGTAAGATCACTCCAAAGTTGTCTTCTCACTAAGTAGTCTGAATCAGCATAAAGAAATGTTGCAAAGAATCTTTTATTTTCATAAGTGATTTCAGTGTCGATAAAATGTTTACACGATGATATGACTGACACATTGATTCCTTGATTCCAGAATAAAGCCAAGCCTCCAGCACCATGGCCAGTAGGTGGTACTAGGAAGGAACTTGAGTAAGCCAACGAAGCACATTTGCGGAGAACAAAGTCGTTGGGATTCTTTGTCTCAGAGAGGAATGTGATATGAGGAGAGAAGCGTTTATGGATCTCCTTTAATCTTTGGACTGTCTGGCCATTCCCCAAGCCACGACAGTTCCAGCTCACAACTTTTAAGGAATTGGATTTGGTGGATTTTGAAAATCCACCTTCCTCTTCACCACACCGGGTATGATTCGAATTGGAGGTTGAGAGCTTGTGTTCCTTCCACTTGAGGTGTGAGCTCTAGCTCTACTTGATGACGGTCCCCTAGTAGAAGATGAGGGAGCATTTCTTCTCTTTGGGGATATGCGTATAGGTGGTGTTCTTCTTCTCCTTACTGTTTTCCCCGATCCTTCTTTAATCCCTAGAGATTTAGGCTTATTCTTTGATAATGGGGGTCTTCCCAGTCTCTTCTTTGCAGGGATCCTGGCAGGTTCAGCACTGGTGGAGGCTAAGTTAAGCTCTGGTAAAGGGCCAAGGCGTTCTAGTGCAGGGAGGCGAGCAGGACTGTTGTCATTATTATCACCAGCCCTCTCATTCTGGTTTTCAACCATATTTGTATTAATAGGTATGATATCTTCAGCATTTAATATAGGAGCATTAAAGGCAGTTATTGCTGCAACCATATTTCTAGCAGCTTCTTCAGTTTCTCCGTTCTCTTCAGCCAATCTCATTCTTTCTTTTCTTGCAGCACTCTCAGTTGGATCGGCACATCTAGTGTACTGACTCATTGCTTCCCTTATCTCGCCACAAGCTACATTAAGGGCCGAAGTATACCCGTTCACCGTTAGATTCATGGGAGGTTGGGGCACCTGGTCGCGCAGGGAGGAGGTAACAGCACCTACACCATTTAAGGTAGATCCATTAAGTTCCATAAACGTTCCTCCGTCTCTAGCCGTACTAAATTCAGGGGCTCTGTCGTTGTGTTGTGAATGATCCGAAGGGGAGACTCTCCTTCCAGTCTCGATCCATCTAGACTCAGATGGTCTCGGCGTATATCTTTGACGGGAAGATATCGAGTGCTGGGTGTAAGGTGTTTCATGTCTGGATCGAGAGTAGCTTCTGTGGGAAACCCTATTATGATCATGCACTCTGTTATCAAGGTAATGTCCCCGGGCTTGAGAGTTCTTATGGTTGAGTTCCGCATTCCTAGCATCCCTCATAAATCCTGATGTGTGTCTGGGAGCATAATTCTTTCTAACAGGATGGTTGGAGGAAGAGTTTCTTAGAATCGGGAGGGAGTGCTCTTTCTGGTTGGCTCGGTCTCCAGTGGAGGGGGAGACGCCTTTGTTGCTCAGGGTTTTTATGCATTCTTCACTCTCATGGTCCAGCATACCACATAGCTTACAATGCTTTTCAAGCTTTTCGTAAAGAAGTGTAGCTGTTACTTCATCTCCATTAGCAAACTCCAGGGTAGTCTTGAAAATCAGGGGGCGAAGCCCATTTATGGTGACTCGAAACTTAGCCTTAGAAGCGGTGATCTCCCAGCAGTCAAACACCCCAATGTCATCTCCAATACCTCTCAGAATGGCTTCATTCCATAGGTGGATAGGGACATCTTGAACTTGGATCCAAAAGGAGATTTGGGATGGGAAGTCAGGTGAGATACTGGGCTCCCACTGCTGTATAATAATCATCCATTTGGCGAAGTGATACGGTCCGTTTTCCAGCACAGACTGTAGGTCTTCAAGATTCTCAAACTGGAACTGGAATTTTCCTTGACCCAGATCTGCTCCAATGGGTCTTGATTTACACTTCCAGTGGTCAGAGAAGAAGGGTATAAGAGACCACATCCTTTGTACACTCGGATTGGTACATCTCCCTATGAGGGTGAGCTCATGTTTTCGCATCAAAGCTGAACTGTCGAAATCAGGGAGTCTAACCCTTCCCAACCGAGGAGGAGAGTTTGGCCTTTGGAGTCCTTTGCCTTTTTCAGAGTAGGATAATCTTCGTGACATTACTTGATACGTTGAGGTGAGGTACTTGAAAAATGTTCAACACTTAAAGTGAGAAGGTTCTTAGAGATAAAACTCTTGACATACCCCCTCTTAGGTTTTGTTATTTTTGGTGGGGAAACTACACTTAGATATCCAGCTCGATCATAAACCTGATTATTAATTTTGTCGACAAAATATATGACGTTTTTATAAGTTTAAGATCCATCATATACATTTTTACATATTTTAAAGTTAATATGCGTAGATACCGGAAAAAAAGAAAAGCTGAGTTGAAACATACTAATTTGGTCCACATTATAGTTGTCAATAGTATCTCAGATATGATAATTCAAAATAATGTTGTGTGATTGGTTGATCAGTCGTTTTATTGCAATTCCCTGACGTGGTGTTTATGGAAAACTACTCAAAAACTGTGTAAGTGTATCAAAGAATAAAAATATTTATTAGTGTGATCTTTTCGTTTAAGTTTTCTGTTCCAATTCTGTTAGTCCTGTCTTGTTTCATGATTTGATGAATGTGGTTGACATTAGAAAAGATGTAGGTAAGTATATAGTGAAGGATACTGGTGAATGTATAGCACTGAAAAAATAATAGTAACTCGTGGAAACAAATAATAAAGTATTTTCAATACTGTACATTTGAAAAAAGTCTCAAAATCAAATTTATGATATGAATGTGATAATTTTAGAATGATATCCCGATCAGTATACAGCCCGGTAAAAGATCCCACCTGGAAACCAACTTGTAAGCTTTTTCAAAATCCCTTTTATCTTCTCAAGTATAACCGTACCCAATTAAGTTGTAATAATTACTCTACTAATTAATTGGACCGTTTCATGGAGACCTGTAATCATTACAATTAGGCAAAAAAATCAAACTAACACGCAGTCCTACAGCCTCTAACTGTTACACTTTCTGTTTCTTCAACTGACTCCTCTTCTTTTACTTTTTTTTTTTTTTTAAAAGCTCCACAAACCGCTAAATAAGAAATTATTACATAAAAATATTTTTTTATTACATTTCCTCCCTTTACAATTTATAGTAGCCAAAAGCACATAGGAGTATTTACTTTTGAAAACTTTGAAAACTGATTAACAGTCTTAGGAATGTCTATGTTTTTGAATTTCAAAAAGTACCACAAAATAGTAAGCATGCTATTAGTGTTTATATGCACTTTTTGTTGGTAAAAGTATTACAGTAATATGAACTTTACTTTAGTATACG